GTCCATATCGAACATGCGTCCCGTGAAATACCTCATCGTTGCTGTAAAATCAACCCCGACAACAAAGGGAACGACGAACAGCTCTTATCGCGCTGGGCGGCGACAGGCGGAGGGGATCAGATTCAACTAAGCTGCGATGCCCACGCTCGGCAGGGACGTGGTACGTGAACGTTCATCCCTCTGTCTGTTTTTTCCTTCACCACAACGGATAACTCGCAGATTACGAACATGTTTTCATGCGGACCATGCGCTTCAAGTTCTCAACGTGTGTCGCCGTCCGCTCTATATACGTTACAGACATAATTAAACCACCCCCGAGATAAGCAGGGGGTTGCACGTAATGACGCGCGCCTCCAACAGGTTGTGTCGTCCTCAATTTCAAAGCCACTGTCCATGTAACGCTGCAAGACACCCAATCCCCGCCCCAGACCATCCAACATAAATTGTTCATGGCTGCAGTGCGCACGTATCATCTATCTAGGGGCGCGCGCGCCCACACGGCAACAAACTGACGTATGTACGTCCTCTCCCAACACTGCCCAGCCAACCGACAGATTTATGATCTATGAACTCTTGTCCGAGTCCGGATTGTTGAACAAGTTGATTTCAATCGGCGTCTGAATCGGACCGGCGTTCAAGTCACACCCATTTCGGGCAGGTCGCATCCATCTTGGGCAATGGGGATCAACCAGGGGAATCCCGCCAACCCTGCGCGCCACCTGTCAAACTTGAACACCTCGACAAAAAACAAGCGAATCCAAAAATACCGCCGCCACAGACACAACTTCCGCGAGAAAAAAAAAATCTCAAGAAGCCGCCAGGCACAACCGTTCTCCGAGTCGTACATTCGCGCGATATGCGATGCGAGGTTCTCGCTCCCGAGGAGTCTGGATCTGCGGCATAGACACCGCGATAACATAACGCACGTTCCAGAGAAAAAAAGCGCGGCAGAAAAGGGCGGCAGGCACCGGGGCAAATAAGCCCTTCGGAACCTGAAATCGGTGTGCCTATCTATCAAAGTCGGGAATTAAGTCGAAGAGGAGGTGCAGGAAGTCGAAGCCCCCGACGCTCACAACACTCCGGGGGCAGAAGGTCGCGGACAGGTCCTGTCTGCGTCCCGTCGGGATCTCATCCATTATTTCAACAGGTCTAGGCCTAGGCGCGACGAAATCCTCCGGGATTCAGGTAGGACGGCGCGCCGACATGACCAGTCTCGAAGCACCGAGAACCACGCACCAGAATCCGACGTCGAGGGTGGGAGCCAAGACAAGGAAGCCCGATTTGGGCGAACTTCCTAAACAGTTTTCGAGACAGTCTATTCCAATTCTAGTTCTGCGCTGTATCAAATGTCTAACGCCACCTATCAGCAGCGCGCCAGGCCGTCGGAAAGACGGCCTTTTCCATTTTCACCCGCCTTCCCGACGCCACTGACAGGCTTCCGCGCTCCCAGGCGTGATTCCCAGGTATGTTTCTTTATGCTCAGATTGTGGCCGTGCTTCGCGCTGGCGCGCATGGTGCAACTCAAGTGCAATTAAATTTTCGAAACCGAGGATCTATGGAGATGGTAAACGAGGTAAACAGCTGCCGATCCGCCACCCCCAGAAAAGCTGCTGTTCAACATAGAATCCAGACCACAGCCTGATTCAGATTGCCAATCCGCCACCGCACTGCAGTTATCGTTGAACAAAATCCAGACCGGGACTGATTGTGATTCTGATTATATTTGGAACTGCATCGCCCAACCGACAGAATCAGGCTGCTTGTCAATCTCGCGATGGATCATTGGATCAGGTCCGGCCCGGAATAAAAGCGTGGCCATGTGGTGACAGAGATAAGTCGAGTCGAACATAAGTAGGTGAGAACGTCTAATTTGAACACTGATGGCAACAGTTGGCGCCGGATTGGGCCGAACCAAGTTTGAACGACATCAGCCATTTGACAAATAACTTGCGCCTTTTTTGACCTTTTGGGCTTGTGACAAGTTCACAAGGCCAAAAGTGAAAAACACCCCCTCTGGAATCACATTTCATGCCCAGATCAACACCTGAAAAATATTTTTTTTTCAAAGAAACCGACCTTGTTGAGATTTAGACATAGCTTTGTGAACTTGTGGCTTGTCGCCCTTTTTAGACCTTTTTCGGCCTTTTTCGGCCTTGTACAAGGTCACAAGCTAATTGTCAAAAGTCTGATGGAGTGCAAGGGGAGATCAACGTCTCTGTTGAAGTGGAGGCGGCCGATTTAGCTACCACCGCAGCAATCATTCTTGTCACCTGTAGGATGCGCAGGACGTATAGATTCAAGGAAGGCCATGGGTGTGGAGTGAGAAGTGTCGGTCCCGAAGATGACGATGTTTCAACCATGGCCACCTAAGGCCGCACTGGGCTCGTCAGCGGACACCACGTCGCGCAGAATTTTGGCACCGAGACTTCCGTGTGGAGTGGTCTAGGTACATTGTCCACCGGACGTCGCCACCACGGTCCACCATTGCGGTTCTAACTTCTTGGACTTATTCTTTTGAACGAAGCGGCCTGAGCTAGAGGCAGTTCCGCTGCGTGTATTTATTCTTCTCCGGCCATGGGGGGCTCCACCATTTGCACGGCGAGACGCGAACGGGTTCCTTCGATCCAACTTCGGTAGCAATGTTGGCATGTAGCATCGGATGCTCCACCATTCAGTCGTGCTTTTCTGGAGTGTGGTTTTTCCCGAGTTGCAAGAGACTGCATTGCTTTATCTGCATGGCGCACAATTAACCTTGGAACATGTCCGCTCCGAGAATCAGGCGCATGGGCTTTCCCAGAACCGCCGGGGGTTTCTTATCATCGTGGTGCTTGAGCGAGGTTTAAAACCCGAGATGTCGACATGGCCGGGGGGGGAGAGGGGGGGGGGGGGGGGGGGGGGGGGGGGGGGGGGGGGGGTCGCAATGTAGGGAGCTGTACTAAAAGATTTAAGATGCGAGGGTCAATAAATGACTGGACCGAGTGCGTTCAGGGTTCCAGAAGTTAAGGCCATAGGCGGCTGTGGAGTATTGTTAACTGCCCATTCCTACTGTGTTTCACGGGCAGTGTTTGCCCGGGAATCCATGTGAGAGCAATCGTTCAGCGTGTATCTGCTCTTGAGCCATTCGGTCGCCCCACAGTTTGACTGTAAGAAGTTCAGTGACAGATGGAATTGAGGACATCTCTCTGGGTATCAAATCCATCCAAGTGGTGCTGGAAGTTTCTGAGTTCGGCCCCGCATCTGCAGGTTCCATGCACCCGACATTCCAATCAGATGGTCCGTGAATTGACGACTGATGGAGCCGAGGGCTTCCCGGCTTATCTGTTCGTTCCTTCGCATACCTAACCGAAGCGAACGCGCCGGCGCTTAGAATTCAGAAACGCCTGCGTTGCGAAGGATCACGTCGAAATTCTTTACTAATACGACAGCAAATGCCAGAGAGAACTGCTAGAATGCACCAGTCGGAGTTACTCCCATCTCTCGGGTTGCGAAAAATATCCGACCGTGGGACGGAACAGGAACCAGGGCGCGAAGTATGATCAGGTCCGCGCAGAGCGTGGTTATTCGCGGAAAGTGCACTAATCGGGTCCAGAGCAATAGAGTGAGTTCGCGCTGATTTTCACGTTCAAGTTGGCTATGAAGATGTGGGAGCTGAGCGGGGTGCTGCGCGGTTGAATTTGCAAGTTTCCCACGGTTTTTCCCACGGTTCAAATCCGGGCCGAGGTTGTAATTCATGCACTTCGGCCACTTCTTATCGTCAAAATGCTGTAACTAAACAAAGTCAAAAAGCGGCCCAAAAAAAACCTGGCCGTGAATGGTTCATGTCAAGGGCCACCTTTCTTGAGGCCGTATCTTGGCGCCACGTTGCCACTTGTGCGAATTCCCGGTTGAAAATCCGGCCAGGTCATCCAGCTCTCCTCCAGGCCTTTTTGCACATTCTATCACCATGATGCTAGGAGTAAGCAAGGCTGAAAACAGAAGTAAAGACTTGGTGGTGAATGGTTGAATGGTTCACACCCAACTCTCTTCGCACAATACTTGAGCGAGTGTCCGATTCCGAGCTAGGTCATTCCTCCGGCATCAATCTTTTTTTTCTTCTATGAGCAGAAATCAAGCACTGCATAGGGATGAATAAAAGGGGAAGAGACCTGGTTGTGAATGGCTCACACCCACTTTGGCTTTGGTCGAATACTGTGTTCAACGTGGGAGTTCTCCGTTTGATATCTTTTTGTTTTTACTCTGGTTTGCCTCGAAAGCGCCAGCACTACTAGTACACGAGGTCAAGAAGCGAGGTAAGAAGACCTGGTGTTCGATGATTCACACCCTCGATGAATGTGACGTCCATCGATAAATATTTGTGGGAGTTCCCGGTTCGATTCGGGGCCAGGTCATGGTCTCCTTCTTCAACCGTTTTGTTTTCATTACTGAATTGCTTGAACTAGCTAAGATGAAGAACGGAAGTGATAGGATCTGGTGGTGAAGGCTTCATGCCCATGCCCCCGCGACGCCTAGGCCCTCTCCGTAGTTCCGTGGGAATTCCCGGCTCGATTCCGGGCCAGGTCATGGTGGATCGTTGCATGTACTTCTTTTTGCTCGTTTTATTTGCCAAAAATGTCATGACCAAGTCGTATTGAAAACAGAGCCGGGGAGGCCTAGTGGTGAATAGTTTCATATCCACTTTTCTTGGCGCAAGTTGACAAGTAAATTTCTTGGCGCAAGTTGACAAGTAAATTACTGTGGAACATCCCGGCGGTGTGAGGAACTCTTTTGCTCATTTTATGTGCATAAAATCGCTTGCTCAATGCTAAGCAGGGTGGAAAACAGAAGTAAAAAGACCTGGTGGTGAATGGTCCACACCCATAATTCATAAGGATTGTGGTGGTTATGTCTTGTGTAGGAGTTCCCGGTTCGATTCCGGGCCAGGTCATCCCAGTGCTTATCATCCTTCTCAAGTTGTTCACCGAGATGTCAGGACTAACTAAGGTTGAAAACAGAGCCAGCGAGACCTGGTGGTGAATGGTTCACACCCACAATTCTTAGTGTCTTTCGAAGTGTGTTGTGTGGGAGTTCTCGGTTCGACTCCGAACCAGGTCATTCAAGTCTTCCAACCCTTTTTAGTTTAGTTTGTTGAAAAACAGCCTAGCGAAGTTGAAAACCACTGTTAATGGCTCACACGCATACCCTCCGTGATCTCAATCAGAATCCTGGTTGAAGGCTGTCCAGGCCATGAATCCTTCAGCTTCTAAGTTCTGTACAACAGGCTTTTGAAATGCAGAATTAAACGAGAATAGAACCAGAGCCGGAAAGACCTGGTGGTGAATGGTTCACACCCACAAGTCTTCAATTTGCGCACGAGGGCAGAAAATTGCTGTCGGAGTTCCCGTCAATTCCGGGCCATGCCATGGACCGTTGAACGTGAAGCTGTTTTTTTTGTTCGAATTCATTGGACAGTGGAGACAGATACATCACTAAGCAAGGCTGAAAACAGAGGGAGGAAGACCTGGTGGTGAATGGCTCACACCCACCTCACACCTATAATTTGTCTCTAGTCATCGTTTGACGTAGAACTTTTGGGTCAACTCACACCTGCTGTGACTCAACGAGGTTGGGAAAGGGAGTAACAAGACCTGGTGGTGAATGGTTCACACCCCACAACTCTTAGGGTGTTATCTTTGCATTGTGTGGGGATCCTCGGTTCGATTCCGGGCCAGGTCATGTCACAGTGTGCGGTAAATGCGGAAAATTTTTCATCATTGCTTTCAGTAACACAAACGCTAGCACCCAGTCGGGTTCAGAACAGATATAGGAGGACCTGGTGGTGGACAGTTCACACCCAAAATCTGTCTGTTGACTGCATGTTCAGTGTGTGGGAGCTCTCGGTTCGATTCCGAGCTGGGTCCTTCTCTAGTCAAGTTTTTTGGTTTCTATCCACCTAAATTAATGCTGACTAAAGAAGGCTATGAAAATAGCTCGGAAGATCTGGTGGTGAATGGTTCACACACATCATCAATCCATTGTAGAATTGTCCATGATTTCCGTGGGAGTTCCCGGTTCGACTCCGGGTCAGGTCATCCCAGCGCTTATCATCCTTCTCAAGTTGTTCACCGAAATGTCAGGACTTACTAAGGTTGAAAAACACAGGGAATAAGACCTGGTGGACACCTTCGATGAATTTGGTCTCCTCTTTTGCGTATTTGTGGAGCCCCCGGTTCGATTCCGGGCCAGGTCATGGTGGATCGTTGCATGTACTTCTTTTTGCTCGTTTTATTTGCCAAAAATGTCATGACCAAGTCGTATTGAAAACAGAGCCGGGGAGACCTAGTGGTGAATAGTTTCATATCCACTTTTCTTGGCGCAAGTTGACAAGTAAATTTCTTGGCGCAAGTTGACAAGTAAATTACTGTGGAACATCCCGGCGGTGTGAGGAACTCTTTTGCTCATTTTATGTGCATAAAATCGCTTGCTCAATGCTAAGCAGGGTGGAAAACAGAAGTAAAAAGACCTGGTGGTGAATGGTCCACACCCATAATTCATAAGGATTGTGGTGGTTATGTCTTGTGTGGGAGTTCCCGGTTCGATTCCGGGCCAGGTCGTTCCCCGGCTAGCAACATCCTTTTGCATCTGGTCGACAGAAATGCTAGCACTAAGCAAGGCTGAAAACAGAGGGAGGAAGACCTGGTGGCGGATGGTTCACACCCACCTCACACCTATAATTTGTCTCTAGTCATTGTTCGACGAGGAACTTTTGGTTCAACTCACACACCTGCTGCGACTCAACGAGGTAGGAAAGGGAGTACAAAGACCTGGTGGTGAATGGTTCACACTTAAAATTCTTAAAGTATTCCGAAGATTCGTTGTGTGGGAGTTCTCGGTTCGATTCCAGGCCAGGTCATGGGTATTCCTTGTTGTAACGAATTTTTGCTTCTTCTTTTGCCGAAATGCTATGACTAAGCAATGGTGAACTAAGGGGAAGGAAGACCTGGCGGTGAGTGTTCACACCCCCAACTCTTAGGGTGTTATTTCGACACATGTGTTGTGTGGGAGTTCTCGGTTCGATTCCGGGCTGGGTCATGTGCGGTTGATGCTGATGATTTTTCATTATTGCTTTCATTTACAAAAACGCTAGCACCCAGTCGGGTTCAGAACGGAGATAGTAAGAACTGGTGGTGAGTGGTTCACACTTACAATTCTTGACATTCCGAAGATGCGTTGTGTGGTTCTCGGTTCGATTCCGAGCTGGGTCATAGTCTGTGTCGTCATCATTTTTGGTTTCTATCCACCTAAAGTAACGCTTACTCCAAGCCAGGCCGAAAAGAAAGCAAGGTAAGAAGATCTGCTGGTGCCGGTGAACGGTTCACACCCACTTCCCTTGCCGTCGTGTACACTGTACTGGTACATGTGGAAATCCCCGGTTCGACCGTCGACTCCGGGTCAAGTCATTGTGTTCGGTTGCGTTTTTTTTCTTTCTCCTCTTCAGCTTCGTTGCCTGTAAGTATCGTTCTTCTTCTTCACACTTCACACTTCGCGTTTTACTATACTTGGTTAGCTCGGGTTGTTTGCGGGTTGTAATACTAACCGTGACTTGTTATCCACGGGTATTCGTACACAATTTTGGCGAGTCGCGGTCCTGGGCGGTTGGTTCAACCCCCCTAGGCCTCCCCCACAATGACACGCACGTGACCTTATCAGTTGCGCGGGTTCAAGCCCGGACAGTGCAGTTCTTTTTGTATCTACTTTCTTCTTGTTTTCTTCTCTAAACTACTTCCCCCTTCCACATCAACAAAACTTGAACCTCATCTTGAGCCCGATGCCCACCCACCTGTATTACTGTTCACATTGGAGTCAGGGCCATTGTTTTATCAACCTTTGGAACGGACCCCACCTTGACACTTGTGCCATAGCACTTTACACTAAGCACTGCTGGTTCCCTTGGTGTCTTAGTACCTTGAAATTGCCCATTGAGGTGACCACTCTCCATAATCGTGGCTTCAATTGTCCCCGGTCTCCTCACATTGCATCAACAATATTCAAGGCTGAGGTTTTGCCTTGAACTGCATTTATTGATACATGGACAGTGATTATCTGGTTGTCATTGGGTTGTCATGCTGAATTCCGCCCGTATCAAGACCGAGCGCATGCGGAGTGGGAAATAAAAAGAAAAGGGGACCGGCAAGAGCGAAAAACGACACTCAACCGGATCGAACTGGTGACTACAAGATCGCCGTTAGAGCCGCAATGACAACCCCTACACTATAGAGACGACGGTGTTTGTGCTGCGCATTACGTGACGTCCGCGGGAGCTCCGGGTCCGGCGGTAATCTGCTCACATCAATCAAAGATTGATTATCTATGCCTTTTAAGGGAATGTCATTGTGGGGGAGGCGTGAGCGGGCTGGTTGGTTCGTTCGTCCTCTTAGCCACAAAGTAAAATGCGTCCCCATCCCCATTGGGCGCCGGATAATGAAAGCCGGGATCCTGATGCTGATCCGGATTCCCTTGCTTACGACAATCTCCGGATTCCTGCCATCTCTCCATCCACGTCTTGTTTTCTTAGATTCTCCCACCAGCCGACTTGTTTGGACTGTCACTCCCACCTATCACCTATCACGATCGTCCATACCTACTGGCAGCGAGAAGCTCGACATGGACGGCCCGAGAGGTCGAGAGATAGATATACACACGCGCGCACGGCAGGCAGGCACGAACGAACGAACGAAGGCAGGTTTTCTCCGCTGATGCAGATGCCGAATCCGACAAACGCACGACATCAAGCAAAAGACAAGACAGGAAGACAGAGTTGATACAAACCGTAAACGCAGACGCGGATGGATGGGTGGCAGCCCGCCTGCTGCTGCCCCTTGATAGGGACGCGTCGGCGTTCTAACTGAGGCGAGCGACCCGGTGGCGATTCGGCGTTGAAACGAAGAACGCGTTACGAAGCAGAAGAGAAGATTACACGACGATTACGCACGCAAGCGAATAGGGAAGGAAGGGCAAGATCTCGATGCCCGATGAAGATGCAGATTCGAAATCGGGATGAGATGAAGACGAAACGAGAAGAAGGCTTTGCTTTGGGACAGGACCGGACAAGCAGGACAAGACACGACAGGGCGGATACAGATACGAACTGACTGGACAGAGTATATCACCTCGCCCCGACGCGTCTGCCTCTCGTTCAGTCTTTCGCTCCAAGTTGCAAAGTCGAGTCCTCGTCTTACGCGCCGCCAGCTGGGAAGACACGCACGCTCATAGGACTATAGACTATCGACAACAGACAAGACAAGAAGCCACACACGCACACGCACGCACGCGATGGCCCGCCCCGCCCCGCTCTCGTTCGTCCCCCTCCCGCCCAACCCCCCCTTCGCCAACACCAACGCCAACGCCTCCTCGCCCAACATCTCCGCCCCTTCCCCCAACGCGGCGACGCAGAACCCCTTCGCAGCGGGCGACTCGGAGCCGCCGTCGCCCACCTCGCCGCACACCCCGCGCTCGCTGTCGTTCCTCACGCCCGCCAACAACATCAACTTCGCGACCAACTTCACGTCGTCAGCAGGGGGTGGGGGTGGGTCGGCGCCGGGCACGCCTGGCGCGGGCGTTAACGCGACGGGGAACCCCTTCTCCCCGCCCGCGTCCGTGCGCTCGTTCAGCGCCTCTTCCACTCCAGGTGGGGGAGGAGGAGGGATCGAGACGCCGATCCACTTCCCCTCCACCCCGCACGCGCACTTCTCCTCCCTCCCGCCGACTCCTGGACACGCGCATACGCATACGCATACCGCCAACAGCAGCTTTAGCGGCGGTGTCGGAATCGGAAGCGCGAATGGAACCAACGGGGGTGGAGGAGGAGGGTATTTCCCAAGCCCCGGCAGCACCCGCGCCTCGAGCCTCGTCGACGTCCCGCGCGCGTTCTCGAGCCGGCCGAGCACGGGGACGTCCCTGCGGCCGAACTCCACCGCTGCGTCGGCGGTGCACGACGCGTCTCCCTCTAACTCGGGTGTCACCTCAAACACCCTAAGCGGAGGAGGAGCGAATGGAGGCAACACGAAGCCCCCCAAACGCGAAGCATTCGCCTCCCCGCCCGCGCGCCCGCTCACCATCTACGCCGCGCCCCTCCCGTCGTCCGCCCGCCTCCGGCGCGAGCGGCCGAAGAGCACTGCGCTGCTCGTCCCTTCTACCTCAGGCGGCGGAGGCGGCGGCGGAGGTGGTGGAGGGGGAGGGGGAGGGGGAGGAGGAGGAAATGGGGGAGGAGGAGGAGGAAGCGCCGGGAGCAGTTTGACGGACGTGGGGGGCGGGGAGGGTGCGTTTGCTTCCTTCCTCTTCCTTCCTACTTCCCATTCATCCATCTTTCCCTCTTCCTATCCATCCATCTTTCCCACCACCTCTTCCCCCGCATATCAAAATACGCATGCTAACCCCCCCTCAGGCGCCGAAAAAAAGACGCGCCCCACGCTCTCCTCCGCCCTCCACAAGCCCTGGGTGGGGCAGCGCGACCCGCTGGCGAGGGTCGCGTATTGGGTGACGTATGTGGTTGTTTTGTTGGGTGAGTCGGTGGGTTTTTTTGGGGGGGTTCGATTTTTGCGGGGCGTTGGGTGGGGTTTTGGTTTTGGGGGGGAGGGGGGTTTTGGAGAGGGTTTTGTTATTATGGTTATTTGCGGGGGAGGGGGAGCGGGGGAGGTGTGCCGCGGCCATTCGACGCGCGCCTTTTCTTGGGCGTTTTTGGGCTGCCTTCACGAGCACCTCGATGTCGCGCTTCTTTTATCTCGTGTCTCGTGTCGGGCGGCGTGCTCCCCTCGTGGACTAAGGACTAAGGACTTCGGCGTGCTACTTCCGAATCCTTGGCCGTTGGCAGGCGCGGCGGGGGGTGACGATGATGATAACACCGCCCTCGTGCGTCCTCGGCGCGGTGTTCTTGCTTGCGCGTCGGCGTGGACTTGCTTGCGCGTCGGCGAGGCTCAGCGCGTCTTTCTCCCCTTTCAATACCTTCGTTATTCCTGGACCGCTCGCTAACCCCCGCTCGCTGACCCTCGCTAACGCTCGCTACAGGCATCGCCGCCGGCGCGGGGCGCATCTACGTCGGGTGGACGGGCGTGTTGTTGTTGCAGGTGGGTGTTCGGGTCTTTCTCTCCTTCTCTCCTTCTCCCATTCTCGTCCGTGTCCTTCTCTCGTTCTCTGGTTCTTCGTCCCTTCGTCCCTTCTCCCCTCCTTTCCTTCTCTCCTGATCGTCCGTCCGGCCGTCTCTGGACGCGTTCGCTGCGTTCCCACATACCGGCTACTTCCCCCTCCTACTCCTCCATCGCCCTCTGCATAATTTCTGTCCCCGCTCATCGCGCCCTTCCCGCGATTCGAACAGCCACTGCTCGTAGATTCTCTCCCTCCTTCCTTCCTCGTTTTCCCCTCCCATTCCCTCCCTCCCTCCTCCCCTCCCCATTCCCTTCCTCCTCTACACTCCCCCTCCCCCCCTCCTCGTTCTTACGTTCGCTACCGCCCACCCCGTCCTCTGCCTCCCTCCCCCGTCCCTCCTCTGTGCCCTCCCTTCCCCCCCTCCTCGTTCTTACGTTCGCTACCGCCCACCCCGTTCTTTCTCACCCCGTCCTCGTCACTCTCCATCCCTATCACCCTCCTCCTCCGTTCTCCATCCCTCCTCTGTGCCCTCCCTCCGCTCTCCCTCCCATCTCCCTCCCGCTCAAAATGCCCAACTCACTGGATTCATTCGTTCGTTCTAGGACGCCCTCTGCCCCGTCCTCCTCGAAGACTTCGCCGGCACCAGCACGCGCGCGCTCTTCGGCAGCGGCGCCGCGGGCGAGGGCGGCACGTTCTTTCGCGAGGTGGATGCGAGTGGGTTTGGGTGGGTGCTTTTTTTCGTTGGGGGTTTTTTTTGAGAGGGGGGAGGGAGAGGAGCCTTTCTCGCGATGTTCTCCTTTTGGGCGGACAAGGGGTGCGCGCGCCCCGGATTGCTGCGCTCGAGGCACCCGTGGAGCGCTTGTGAGGGGTGACGCGTCGGTGTCTGCAGCAGCCCGAGCTGGGGATGTGCGGCGCGATCGGGTGGTGGCGAGCGGTTCTGCGTGTCTGCG